CCACTTCACCTCCGAGGATCACGAACACGACCGCTGTGGCGGAACCGCCGCGAGGGGCTCCAGGCTCCACCGCGCTGGGCATCCATGAGATCGGCCGACCCCGCGTGGGCGTCCGAGCGGAAAAAATTCGACGCTCCCTCCCATCCTCCTCCTGCTCCTCCTGCTCCTCCTGCTCCTCCTGCTCCTCCTGCTCCTCCTCCTCCTCCTCCTCCTCCTCCTCCTCCTCCTCCTCCTCCTCCTCCTCCTCCTCCTCCCCCCCGGACCCCCAACAAGGAATTTGACCCCCCCAGACCGCAGACGACCCCCGGAGGAGCGCGTCACGGGGGCGCGGAGGGTCCCGCCACAGGCCAACAGAAACCCCCAGGGGCCCCCAGCACGGTAAGCGAGGGCCCCGAACCGCCGAAGAAACATTTCAGGACGCCCGCGGTGCTATCCAAACGGCCCGCGATGCCTCTTGCAACACGTCCCAAGGGGCCTCCAAGGAGCCCCCCAGGAGGCCCCGACGAGACAGTGACTGCCGAATTCCACTCGGAAGAGGTATGTTTTTGATGCACTCGCCTTTTGGTCGTTCGCAACGTGCAAGACGGGCCCCGAGACGGACAAACAAAACAACAATACGGCCCATGGCGGCGCCAGGAAAAACACCCAAAAAGAGCCCAGAGGGAAACCCCGAGCAGACATTTCCAGCTTTCGGTCCCGCAAAGAATACAACGATCCCAACAAACATCCCGCGGGTCTCTCACACTGCCTTGGATTCCCGAAAGCGTTCCGGCGAGATGCCACGACGCATCCTTGAAACTGTGGCGCAAAACGTAAGATTTTGCACAGGGTCTCGAAGCCTTGGGTGCACACATGCGTTGCGGCGGTGCTGGGATCGCCCCGACGGCCCCCGACGCCCTCGTTGAACCCCGCGACAAGATCCCGACTCTGTTTCGGAGTTATATTCCGACTCCTGCTCCTCCTCCGCCTCCTCCTCCACTCCTCTTCCTCCTCCTCCTCCTCCGCCTCCTCCCCCCCCCACCCTCCCCCCTTCCTCTTTGTGCGCCTCCTCTTTCCCAATTTCCTCCTCATCGTTGACCTCGTTCCCTCCCGCGTTCTTTCCCCGTTCGGTCTTAACTCCACGCACCACGGCACGGGCGCCCGAATCGGCATCAGTTGCGCGCCTTGCACTTCAGGGTGCCTTTCTTCACGTCGCGCGCGACAGTGTATGGCCTCACGGAGAACGCCGACTTCGTAAGTAAGTGGTTGTTTGCACGTGCCGCTGCACTGATACGCCTGCCAACTGCGCGCCGCGAAGCCCATGTCTTTGCAATCCGCGCACGGTACGCTGCTCTCACTCTCGTCGTCAGATGTTCCGTCTCCTGCGCGCTGCTGATGTGGCCCCGCCGCGGAAATTTCAAGCTGCGCGCCGCGCGCGTCCAACCTCGTTCCAGCCTCTACTCCGCATCGGCCACTACCTCCGCGGGTCTGCCGCGTTTGTTCCAGTCCGCGCACAAGTCCGTTTCGCCGTCCGATGATCCTTCACCTGGCTCCGGTTCAAATGACCCGTCTTAAGAAAAAATGAGCCTGGCGAAAGCCCCAACCATATGAAGCTGCGAATACCGCGAGGGAAATGAGACGAAGGAGGGGGGGGGCACGCAAACTACAAGTGGCGCGAGGCATGGCCCCTGTTGTCGCGGGCACTGCGCCGCAGCACGGACGAGGCGCAAGACAGCGCGGGCAGGAGGTGGCTGGAGAAGGAGGAGAGCTCACTGGGCGATCCAACACATCAGTATCATCATCGCATCGTCAGACCTGTTACTGGGCACGCAGGAAGATGTCACGGAGAAGCCGCGCAAATGTCAGGGGCAGGCCAGCAACGGCAGAGACGAGACCGGGGGGCCCGCGGTCAAGAAGCAAAAGGAAGCAAGAGGAGCGAGAGACGAGGGGTGACGTTTTTGCCTCCGGGCCGATAGCGAGCCACGCAGAGTGCACTGCGCAGGCGGCGCCGCTCGAAAGTGGCTGGGGAGTCCCCGCCGACGCGGTCTGGTCATCCCGAGGGAATCCCATCGACGCGCGGGGGTCGTCCACTGCGACTCAACGTAGACGGATAGCTCCTCCGTGCTGCGCGGCGAGGCCATGCGAAAACGGCGCGATCTGGGTGAAATCCCCCGACAGGCGCCGGTCATCCTCTGGCGAGAAATCCCGACGACGAGCTGGGGTCATCCAAGCGTCAGCGACAACCAGCGCGCGCCGCTGGCCCGTGCGGGGCCGCTTCACAGGTCAGGCCTCGCGGATGAACCCGATGAAGCCGAGCTCCCTGGCGAGGGCCGTCGCCTCCCTCCTGCACCGCTTCGCGCGCGCTGCAAACTGCTCCAGCTGCTTCCGCAAGCCCGCCGGCGGCCCTGCCAGGAAGAACTCGATGAGCGGCGCCCGCATGAGCAGGAGATCCTCGTGGCGCGTGGCGCGCGAGAGCAGCGCGTAGGGCTCCAGCCACCAGTCGTCGTCCTCCTTCTTGCCGTTCCCGACGTCGTGGCGGCCGCAGTCCAGGATCACGCCTGGGCGGCGTCGGCCGGGGGAGCAATGCGCCAGACAGCCGACGGCCCAGGGCGAGAGTCCACGGGACCGAGAGAAGGTCCGGCTGCGGACCGCTCGCGTCTGAAGGGTTCGGCCGTAGACTGCCCGGTGGCGCCGTTCCCCCGCCCCGTCGCCTTCCCGCATAGTGCGCCCCTGGCACGCCACCGTGGTGATGACCCTGCCGTGTGAAAACGGGAAGCCCGTCCGGGTGACCTTGGAGGTGCGGAAGGTGAACGGCTCCGACGTACGGGGCTCGATTTCGCACACCGCGAGTCGCCCTCCGAAGAGCACAACGGTGACGACAGCTACGATAACTGAATATTCGTTCGGTTTCGAACATGAAGCTGCGGGCCCCACAGGCGCCCCGCATGCAGGCGCAGCCACTGGGGCCTTCGATGGAGGGTTTCCCCCTGCGCCCGGCCGCCGTCGTCCTCCTCAATTCCTGTTCCTCCTCCTCACATCATGGGTCGCGCGAGTCGCCCTCCGAAGAGCACAACAGTGACGACAGCTACGATAACTGAATATTCGTTCGGTTTCGAACATGAAGCTGCGGGCCCCACAGGCGCCCCGCATGCGGGCGCAGCGCCTGGGGCCTTCGATGGAGCTCCCTGTGGAACCACAAGACGTTCCTGGGTGGGGCCTTCGGTGGAGCCCTCTATGGGGCCTTCGGTGGAGCTCCCCATGGGGCCACGAAACGCTGCCCTGGGTGGGGGAACCGCATGCGGGCTGTGCCACTGGGACCTTCGGTGGAGCTCCCCATGGGGCTACGAAGCGCTGCCCTGGGTGGGAGAACCGCATGCGGGCTGTGCCACTGGGACCTTCGGTGGAGCTCCCTATGGGGCTACGAACCGCTGCCTTGGGCTGGGGAACCGCATGCGGGCTGTGCCACTGGGACCTTCGGTGGAGCTCCCTATGGGGCTACGAAACGCTGCCCTGGGTGGGGGAACCGCATGCGGGCTGTGCCACTGGGACCTTCGGTGGAGCTCCCAATGGGGCTACGAAGCGCTGCCCTGGGCTGGGGAGCCGCATGCGGGCTGTGCCACTGGGACCTTCGGTGGAGCTCCCTATGGGGCTACGAAACGCTGCCCTGGGTGGGAGAACCGCATGCGGGCTGTGCCACTGGGACCTTCGGTGGAGCTCCCCATGGGGCTACGAACCGCTGCCCTGGGCTGGGGAACCGCATGCGGGCTGTGCCACTGGGACCTTCGGTGGAGCTCCCCATGGGGCTACGAAGCGTGTGAGGGGTGTGCCGAGAGCAGAGGCAAGGAGGGGGAGGAGGGAGGAGGGCGAGGAGGGGGAGGAGGAGGAGAGGAGGTGGGACGCGGGGCGCTGTCTCTTTAAAACGAGGACCCAACACCACAGGATGGTTGGGAAAAAAACATCCCGCAACCTGGCGCACAGCACGTCAACGGCTTCGTTTCCGCATCAATTTTCCGTTTGAATTTGTTTGCCTCTCGCGTCAACTTGTCCGCCTCCTCCGCGCATTTTTGCCACAGCTTCTCCCCTGCTGCGTTGTGCTGTTTTTGTGGTTCCGACATGCCCGCCTTATTTTCGACAAGCGACAGGCACGTCACGTACGACCATACCAAACGAAAAAAACGGAATCGCATCCGCAACACACGTAAAAAAAAAAAACTGCACGGACGCACCGACCAAAAAACACTGGAAACGAACTACAACCAAGGGGTCGGCGGATATGGCGTACAGTGGGAGCTCGACCACATGATACGTTCCACAACAAAACCCAACCCTGAGACCCCAGGACCTCCATTGATTTCTGGCGTGGGAGCGTCACGCTTCCCATCGAAACCCACGAAATCCAGGGTACTTTGGAAGCGAGCAGGATGTTTCTTGGCATGGGTTTCCACTGTAGTATCCCGTCCAGAGGAACAGAGATCGGGAACCAGGGGCCCGACCTGCCCTTGCCGATGCGAGCGAGCGAAGGAAGAAGCAAGGCCAGCCCCATCAGAAGCGCATGCATTCCGTCCCGGAAAGCCGCTGGCGTGGTAGGCGTCCTTTTGGGCTCTCTATTCGGGCTATCCGGAAGGCCCCCGGGGCCGTCCCGGGCTGCTGGGGGCCCGAAGACGTGATAATGCCAGAACACTTCCAAGCACTCGAACATCGAGGAGCTTGCGCCTTCAGAGCGTTTTGGGGGCATCTGGGGACGGCTTGAGGACCCCTCCTCGGCCTCGGGAGGGGACTCCTGGGGTCGTCGTGGACGCGTGCAAGCGTGACGCTCAGCAGCAACGTTCTAGAGCCAAAAACAGCTTCGGCGGCATGAGGAGGCCTCTTCTCTCAACAACATTCTCGACCACACGCGCGCTTCGCGCGCGCTTTGGCTTTAGCGAGGCCCAGTCATTCCGGGAAATTCCGTTACTCGTATTTCTTATCCCCTCCCTACCCAAGACATTCACCCGAAGGCACCAACCGCCAGCGACGGCGAATCACAGCAGGCAGAGCATGTGGGATTTGGGAGCGTCGACGGCGAAAAAGGCGTACGACGCCTGGGCTCGTATTCCCGGAAGCTTCTCTGGGAATATCGTGTAGAACGTGTACGTGAAGCCCCTGTGACGCTCAAAGGGGTCTTGAGGAAGGCCTCCAGCTCGGAATCGATGTCCCGAGAAACCGCTGTGGAAACATCGTTTAAGGTGTAGACGCGTGGCCTCTGACAGGGTTGCGGGGGCCTCTTGGAAGCCCCAGGAGACTAACTGGACACAAGTTTGGGTATCTTGGCGCGCTGCTCGGGAGCCTCTTGGTGGAGCGGGTTTTCAAGCCTCTTGGGTAACCGCCTTCTTCTGGGTCTCTTGGGGGCCTCTTGGGAAACCGCTCCGGGAACATCGTTCAGGGTGTAAACGCGAGGCCTCGGACAGTGTTCTGGAGGCCTCTTCGGGAGTCTCCGAAACTTTCGGCTCGTCCTGCCTAGGGCCTCGGTTCTTGGGTACCCGTTGGGGTCTCGTGGCATGCGTCTCGGGCCCCTCCCAGAGCCAGTTTTGAAGCCTCTTTGGGGCTGTTTGTGACTACCTACCAGACCACCCCAACCCAACCCGAAGACCCGAAACCAAGGGTTTCACATGCGTTTTTGTCGATGTTTCCCGACCCCCCCCACTGAAAATCGAGGGCAAATTGAGGCCTTCGGGTTGGGTTGGGGTGGTTTGGTAGGCGGTGAGTTTGGGGGCCACGCGGGGCCTCCTTTGGGCCTCTTGGGGACCTCTGGAGGCCCTGCTGGGCTCAAAACGTAGCCCCCTCCTCCTCCTCCTCCTCCTCCTCCTCCTCCTCCTCCTCCTCCTCCTCCTCCTCCTCCTCGGGTCGCCTACGGCCCCGGGGGAAACCGTGCAGACGGGGCCGACTGCGCGGAGGCTCAAGGCCGCGCGCAGGCGCCCCGCCTCTGGGCGCCTCTTGGACCGTCTTCGGGCTCTCTTGGGCTGTCTTGGGGCACTCGGCCTCTTGGGTCGTCTTGCATCGCAGGCGATTTCTCTCCCCCAATCCCCGACTTCCGCCAGAAAAGTTTGGTCGCTCAGAAAAGGGGAGGAATCTTGGGATACATCCCGAGGGGGCTATTCGGACGCACCCCTGTCGAGGATGGACGCCCCCCCCTCGTATATCCCAGGGTTGGGCCCCAAATTGTTGATCCTCTCGAAAACCTCACGGAGCCTGGGATAGGGGTCGACGCATCCCCTGTTATTGCACGCTGCTAGAACCGAAGGAATGAAGATGCTGAAAGATATACGTCTGCCGAAAAAGGAGTTTGACAATCGTGACCGTCCGGGGCGCTCCTGGGGAGCATCCTTGGCGCTATCTGGAATTGGTCTGGGGCCATCCACAAGAAATTGTGGGGCCGCTCGTGCGCCGGAATTGTGTCTTGTACGACTCTTGAAGCCGAAACAACCTCCCAGGGTGCCGAAAAGAGGCCCCAGACCCCCAGGGCAAAAGTGGGTACCCATGGGGAGGGAGTTTTGGAAAAGTGGGTTCCCCTTGGGCACGGGGACCCGGCAAGCTAGAGCCCTGAAAGCATGACGCTCGCCCTCCCCCCCCCCCCGCGGTGGCGGCGGTGGTGCAGCCGCAGCCCGCATACAGAAATGCTGATCTGCCTGCAAAATGTTTTCTTGCGCAGTTCGGCTGGGCGCACTAACCCGCAACCCGTCGTTCCCGCATCAAGTGACGAGCCTCAAGCTCTGCCCAGACGAATCAAGTACACGGCAGAGCGAAGCCAGCACCGATGATGAAGAGAACGTCGACGCACAGACAAAGCCCGCAGGATAACCTGCCGACACACAGATGATGGACAACCTGCATGGCAAGTGAAAGGAACGACTTCACCCCGTCAAGTAGCCAGCTCCAGGTCGAGAATATCTCGAGCGAAGGGCACAAGAAACGAAACAAACATGCGTCGCGGAATTGGAGAAGAAGCATCCTGGTCGCCAGAACTTTCTGCGAGAGGAGCGCTTCAGATGTAGAGACATATGTTGAGTTCGTGCTTACACATGCATTCCGCCCCCTTGTCATTTTCTCTTCATCTCGCTCCACCTCCTCCTCTTCCTCCTCCACGACCCCGACGGGGTCCGAGGCTGACCAGGCAAATCTATCAATCCCGCGCAGGAACCAGGTAGGTGCTGAGAGTTGCGGAACCGCCACGAAGGGTACCAGGCTCAACTCGTCGGCCAGCGGGCAGCCAGCAAGGAGGACTCGAGCGCCCACGCCAGTGGAGAAATGGAGAAATGACCCAGTGGTGTACCCAACCCTCTCTAACCAAATGGCGAATACGCGCATATATATAATACAAATGCGAGAAAGGTTAGAGAGCGCACGGTTCTATTCAAGACGAGAACCCAACACAAGAAGGTTGGGGCAGATGGCTGCGGATCCTCACCGTCGGGGCCGCCCCTAGCGATCCGCGCCCGACGGCGGGCAGATCCGCGCTGTCAAGATCCAACGGCAACTGTGCTGGAAAAGTGATCTTTTCGACGTAAGGCCTCCCGCCGCCCTGGCCATATGTGCCGCCCGTCCCAACAACCTCTTGGGCCCACCGACGTCCCATGAGCATAGCGAAAAATCGCGAACGGAGCCCTAGGCCGCGAAAAACGACAGCGGAAGTCTCCAAAAGAAAGGAGGCGCTCAGCAGGCCCTTTCGCCGTGCGACCATAGGCTTTCTAATAAGCGTTCCACCCCACCCCATAGATAGCTTCCTGCTTCCCTTCCTGGAGAGAAGGCCACAATCGAACTGCTCTTGCAGAGCTCGGAATTATCCAAGGCTCGCGTTCAAGATACATCGACTACGAACAAACCTGGTAAGGATTGGCTGTCGCGCAGACGATCCGCGAAACCACGGCCGGAAGACAGGAGCACGAGAAGCCTGGCGGGGAGACATGGGAACCGTACATGCTCGCAGGCCGAGCAACATCGTGCCTCTCGCGCGCAGGAACCATGTATTGAGAACAGCCCTGCAATGGATGCAGCTCGTGTCTGCTGTCCAAAAAGGTGATGGTCTAAATGCTACACCCTGCGAAATGCTTAAGAAATCATGGGTTAAGAAATTCATAGTCTCAGAACTTGAATAAAAACCCAACGTTTCTATTAAAATCTTAGGGTTTACATTGAAACAGTAAGAATAATCGAGACTATGGCCGAAAACTTAAGTTTTCTTAAGCATCGCCTAAGGTGTATTACTTCCGTGACGCTAGCTCGATCTGCGGGGGCTCCGACGCTGGACCCGCGGAGTCGCGGCGCGACAGCACGTCTTCGGACACGGCATCGGGGAAGTCAGCTCGGGCGCTGGGCTCGGCGTGCGTGCTTTGGGCGTGGCTTAACGGGGGGGTCATAAATGGGGGGGTCAGAAACGGTCCCCTTTCGTGCCCCTTTCGGGCCCCTCCGGAGCCCCAGGGGGCTCGTTTAGGCACCGTTTGGGTACCTTTTCGGGCCACCCTCGCCACCCCCCCATTTATGACCCCTCCATTACGCGACGCCCAAGTGCCGTCAGGAAGTGTGTCTCCGGGGCAGGGGCCCTCTTTTGCACTGGGCTGCTCTGCGTTACTCCCAGGCAGACGAAGAGGGCAGGCGCGGCAAAAGTTGCACCCTGCTCCCTTGGAGCACTTGCCGTTCCTGCGCACGGGGTACTTGCACGGTGTGCAACACTTGTTCTGGCCAGCAAATGTGCCAAACTGTGACGTCACGCATTCTGGTCTACAGTCCGGGCATTTCGCATATTGCCCGCGTAATTCGAACGGAGTCTGAGATGTGGATCACCAACCGTTGCCACGGAAACGCAAATCCTGGAAATAGGCTGGCACAACATCGCAATACATGTTTCCACAAAGTGTGCCCACAAGAATAATATACATTCTGCTCCCCGCACCTCGGGCATTGCGCATGCCCGTCAACCAGATGCATCCGCTGGAGGCCTCGCCGAGTCCCAATAGCGGCCATGGCAGGCCGCGTTCACTGGAAGATTCCGTTCTTTGTGCAACAAGAGGTGACAGTTATGCGAGGGCGCCTGCCTCTCAGCGCGTGCGAAGAAGCTTGAGCCAACATGGCTACGGGGGCCGTATATTGGGGCCCTCTTGGGCCGCCTTGGGGCGGTGTATGGGGCCTCTTTGGGACGTCGCGGAGCGTCAAAAGCTTGAAAAGTCGAGGCCCCCGAAAACATTGGAACGACCTGACGGCAGTCATCGTTTTTGGAATACTGGGGCGCTCGGGGGAGCGCTCGTCGAAACCTCTTGGGCCGTCCTCTCGGGCCCCTGCCCTCGGGCCCCTCCTGGGGTCGTCTTGGGACCCTCTCGAGCCCTCTCGGGCGCCTCTCGGGCCGTGTCGGGGCCCTCCTGGGCTGTCCGTGGGCGGTCTCTGAAGCCCCTTGAGCCGTCTTGGGGCGGTCTTGGGGGGCCTCTTGCGACGTCGTGGAGCGTCGGAAGCTGGAAACAATACTGAAAAGCCTTCGGACCGTCAATAGTTGATGCATTTTCGGGCGCTCTGGGAAGCGCTCCTCGAGTCCTCTGGGGCCGTCTGGGGGCATCTTGGGACGGAAAGCTCAAATCGTCGCTTCGGGCTCCTGCTCTCAGGCCCCTCTTGGGGCCGTCTTGGGGTCCTCTTCGGGCCGTCTTGGGCGCCTCTGGGGCCGTCTTGCGTCCCTCTTGGAGGCATCTTGAGCCGTCTTGAGGCGGTCTTGGGGGCCTCTAGGGACGTCGTGGAGCGTCGGAAGCTCGAAAATTCGAGAACCCCAAGAGCATTGCAAAACTTAACGGCAATCATTGGTTTTTGCCTCTTGGGGCCCTCTGGGGAGCGCTCGTCGAGACGTCCGAAAGCCACGCGGGACATCTTGAAGTCTTCTTGTGTCTCTTTGACGCCACTCAAAGCCGTCTGGACGGCTCTCGGGCCGCTGGAAGAATCACCGGGGAGCCCGGAACAGCCGTGGCGACACGGGGCAGCTTGGCGAAGGCACCCGACCCTGTAACCGATACATATTCCCCTTCCTATATTTCCCAACCATCCTGTGGTGTTGGGTCCTCGTTTTGAAGAGACGGTGCCCCGCGTTCCTCTCCTCTCCTCTCCTCTCCTCTCCTCCTCTTCCCCCTCCT